CTGGTAACTTGACCCTGCCTGCTTGCGTCCTGAAGCCTGACACTCAGTTTGCCCTCTGGCCTTTTTCAGACGCTGACCTCCCAGTAACCTGGTCCTGCCTGCCTCCTGATACCTGAACCTTCGTCTGTCCTCTGGCCTGTCGTGGACTCTGACCTCCCAGTACTTGACTTGGCCTGACTCACTTGGTCTGACCACTAAAACTGACAGCCCTCATTCTGATTGTGACACTAACATTGACTTTTTTTTAAAATCAGTAACCGAGTACCCAAAATAAAAAGATTCTGAGGCAAAGCAGAGTTCATAGGTACAGCACATCTCTGCAAGGAAAAGCCCAGGTTTGATGTCTGCTTGTATTCCTTTCAGGTAATTTAACTGGTACAGAAAATATTTACGTAAAGTAATCAGGAGCAAAGAGCAACCCTGGCTCCTGCCCCCACTGAAGCCAGAGCCAAAGATCCCATTGACTTCTTTGGGCCCAGAGTAGAGTTGCTAAAACCATTTCAAAATATTAAATTTTTCACTGAAATTATCAATTTCTGCCCTTCAAGGCTACCACCCGCTCCCTGAAAAAAAAGAAAAAAGAATGAAACGTGGATAAAATTTTCACAATTATTTTTGCAGAATGTTGATCTTTTCTGCAACCAGCTGTAGCATAGAGCAAATGAAAGGCTCATGTGTGCCTTATGGGCACTACTAGGAATGGTACAGTGCGATAGTCAACTCCACACCAGCAGAAGCTTCAGAAGGGGTTGTGTGCCTCAGGGAGGGGGACACAGCTATTGCTATAACCATAAAGGGACGGAACATGCACTTCTTCCCATTGTTGATCAGATCTGTTGGCCATTGAGGAAGGAGAGTCTTCACTAAAAAGGTAAATTGTGAGCCAGATACTTAACGCAATTAATATTAACAGCAAGGGGGAAGGAACACATTAAAGAATATTTAGGTAAGTTAGATGTATTCAAGTCATCAGGGCCTGATAATATTCATCCTAAGGTACTTAAGAAACTGGCTTCAGCAATCTCTGAACCGTTAACAATTACCTTTGAGAACTCATGGAGGATGGGTGAGGTCCCAGAGGACTGGAGAAGGGCGAACATAGTATCTATCTATAGAAGGGGGAACAAAGAGGACCCAGGGAATTAGAGATCAGTCAGGCTAACCTTTGATACCTGAAAGACACTGGGACAAATATATTTAAACAATCAGTTTGTAAGCACCTAGAGGATAATTGAGTGATGTGTAATAGCCAACATGGATTTGTTAAGAACAAATAATGCTAAACCAACCTCATTTCCTTCTTTGGTAGGGTTACTGGCTTAGTGGATGGGGGAAGCTGAACATATGATATATCTTGATCTTAGTGAGGCTTTTGACACAGTCCCACATGGCATTCTCAGACGCAAACTAGGAAAGTGTGGTCTCAATGAAATTACTGTCAGGTTGGTGCAAAAGTGGTTGAAAGACTACCCAAAGAATAGTTATCAATGCTTCACTGTCAAACTGGGTGGATGTATCTAGTGGGATCCTGAAGGGTCTGTCCTGGGTCCAGTATTGTTCAATATTTTCATTAATGACTTGGATAATGAAGTAGAGAGCATGCTTATAAAATCTGTGGATGTCACCAAGCTGGAAGGGTTTGCAAGTGCTTTGGAGGACAGGATTAGAATTCAAAATGGCCTTAACAAATTGGAGAATTGGGCTGAAATCAACCAGATGAAATTCAATAAAGACAAATACTACTCTTTGGAAGAAAAAAATCTAATGTACAACTGAAAAAGGGGGAATAACTGAATAGGCAGTGGTACTGCTGAAGAGGATCAGGGTATTATAGTGGATCACAAACTGAATATGAGTCAACAGTGTGTCAGCAGTTGCAAAAAAGGTGCATAAACAGGAGTGATGAATGAATTAACAGGAGTGAAGTATGTGAGACATGGGAAGTAATTGTTCTAATCTCCTTGGCACTGGTGAGGCCTCATCTGGAGTACTGTGTCTACTTTTGGGTGCAGCACTTTAAGAAAGATGTGGAGAAACTGGAAAGAGTCCAGAGGAGAGCAACAAAAACAACAAAAGGTTTAGAAAACCTGACCTGTGAGGAAAGGTCAAGAACACTGGACATGTTTACTGCTGAGAAAAGAAAGCAGAGGGGGGACCTGATAAGTCTGTGATGGGTTATATAAGCCTCACACTAAAACTGAAGGCGTTAAAGAGCAACTCTGGACCCAGATGACCCTGCCCAGCCACACCTGCAGAGCATGCTCCAGATGGAGGTGGAACTTGGAAGGGAAGCCAGACAATTCAGAAAGTAACTGACAAGGCAGGGAGAGCTGCTCAGAGGGAGAGCTGCAAAAGCCTCTCTTGGAAAAGAGAAGCCTACCTGCTGGGCGTAGACACACTGACGGTGCAGTTGGTACTTTTTTCTATTACCTTTTTGCTACAGGTTTCAGAGTAGCAGCCGTGTTAGTCTGTATTCGCAAAAAGAAAAGGAGGACTTGTGGCACCTTAGAGACTAACCAATTTATTTGAGCATAAGCTTTCGTGAGCTACAGCTCACTTCATCGGATGCATTCAGTGGAAAATACAGTGTGGAGATTTATATACATAGAGAACATGAAACAATGGGTGTTACCATACACACTGTAATGAGAGTGATCACTTAAGGTGAGCTGTTACCAGCAGGAGAGCTGGGGTGGGGTGGAACCTTTTGTAGTGATAATCAAGGTGGGCCATTTCCAGCAGTTGACAAGGACGTCTGAGGAACAGTGGGGGGTGGGGTGAGGGAATAAACAAGGGGAAATAGTTTTATTTTGTGTAATGACCCATCCACTCCCAGTCTCTATTCAAGCCTAAATTAATTGTATCCAGTTTGCAAATTAATTCCAATTCAGCAGTCTCTCGTTGGAGTCTGTTTTTGAAGTTTTTTTTGTTGAAGAATTGCAACTTTTAGGTCTGTAATCGAGTGACCAAAGAGATTGAAGTGTTCTCCAACTGGTTTTTGAATGTTATAATTCTTGACGTCTGATTTGTGTCCATTTATTCTTTTACGCAGAGACTGTCCAATTTGACCAATGTACATGGAAGGGGGCATTGCTGGCACATGATGGCATATATCACATTGGTAGATGTGCAGGTGAATGAGCCTCTGATAGTGTGGCTGATGGGATTAGGCCCTATGATGGTGTCCCCATCATAGGGCCTAATCCTATCAGCCACACTATCAGAGGTTCGTTCACCTGCACATTTACCAATGTGATATAAAATCTCCCCACTGTAGTTTCCACTGAATGCATCGGATGAAGTGAGCTGTAGCTCACGAAAGCTTATGCTCAAATAAATTTGTTAGTCTGTAAGGTACCACAAGTACTTCTTTTCTTTTTGCTACAGACTGCAAAACTTGGACAATAGAGTACGTGGTAGGAAGTGGCCAAAGTAGGGGCGCTCGTGAGTACTGGACCTTTGATAACCTGATCTGAGCTCCCCTACGAACCCTGCTCCACACTAAGAAGGGACTGGCCCCTAACCACTAGACGATACTGCCAGCATCACACTGTCTTCAGATATGTTAACGGTTGTTATAAAGTAGACAGTGATCAATTATTCTCCATGTCCAGCAAAGTAGTAAGAAGGACAAGAAGTAATGGGCTTAATCTGCAGCAAGGAAGATCTAGGTTAGATATTAGGAAAAACTTTCTAACTGTAAGGATAGTTAAGCACTGGAATAGGCTTGCAAGGGAGGTTTTGGAATCTGCATCCTTGGAGGTTTTTAGACAAAAGTTAGACAAAGACTTGTCAGGGATGATCTAGGTATACATGATCCTCCTTCACTGTGGGGGGCTGACCTCCTTGAGGTCCCTTGCAGCCCTACATTTCTATGATTCTATACCAGCTCATCCTCCCCTTGTCCGTTTTTGGGTTAGCTAGCACCACTAGCCTTGTACAGCTGTTGCCTAGAAGAGACTTTGATCCCTTGTTTTGGGATGTTGAAGAAGTCGACTCCTTGTCCCTTCTAACTCCCATGTTTATCTCTGCAGCAGCTGGCCACAGTGTAGTCCTATATTAGAAGGGTATTTGTTGAAGAAATTACTGTTCCACTTTGGTTATCCAGGCAGGCAAATAGCTGAGATATTTTATACTGGACACATTAGTATCTGAATTGTATAAAAAGTATGAACAGCTTTAACTTACTTATTGCATTCTGGAAATGGAGGCCTGGAGCAGTCATATGGACTTCAGGGACATTAATTGTTTGTGTACATGAACGAGCTTATAAATGGTTGTTTTTGCAGTCTTATTTTGCTCATTGAGGATAGCTGTGACAGTGCCAGAGAAAAGGACGAAGAATGAATTATATTTTTTCGTACCCACTGTATTAATACTTACAGGGCTTGATATAATGTGCCTTTAACAAACCATGAACTTCTCTCCTACTGAGCCACTGCATCCTGCCTACGTTCAAAGTAAGCAGGGAACCATTATACTAATCCACTGTACCATCGTATCTCTAGCAAACACATGTAAGTGATTGGTTTGAATATTTATTTTGATGCAAGGTGTGTTGAGTCTTTTATTTGGCAATGCATACAGCTAGGAGATTGACTTTCTCAACTTTCAGAGTAGCAGCCGTGTTAGTCTGTATTCACAAAAAGAAAAGGAGTACTAGTGGCACCTAGAGACTAGCCAATTTATTTGAGCATAAGCTTTCGTGAGCTACAGCTCACTTCATCGGATGAAGTGAGCCACGAAAGCTTATGCTCAAATAAATTGGTTAGTCTCTAAGGTGCCACTAGTACTCCTTTTCTTTTCTCAACTTTGTTACCTCAATTGTGCAAGTTCTGTTCTTGCAGCAACCTCTGCTTTTCAGAAAGGTATAGCAGTAATATTTGGCTTTGTGAAACTAGAACACCCCAGCAACCTCAGAGTGGTTCACCTCTGCGATTAGGATGGTTTTAAAACATGAAAGTGAACTGATTTTTTTTTTTTGGCTTGTTTTTAATCAGGTGCGATTGTATGCAAGACCTGATGCAATCAGAAGAGGAGCTGGGGACTATGCTCTAAATATTACAAGGAGACTCATTGAGTTTTATGAAGACTACTTTAAAGTGCCCTATTCCCTACCAAAATTAGGTAAGACTTTTCCGAAATTACTGTTTGTCCAAGGGAACTCTATTCTAGAGATTAGAAAATAAGGTAGTTTTTACTGGTAGATTTCAATGTGAAAAATTTGGGGGTTAAGTTAGAAGGGACATTGAACAGGAAATTTTAAAATTCTCCTAAAGAGAAGAAGCCAATTTTTCACCTCTTCCTCATCTTGCCTCTGGGTGCAACTACTAAACAACAATTGAATCTATTAGGCATTGAGACTCTAGAGAACAGAAGCTTTGCTAATCACTTCCTGCTTTCCTGATGCTCAGCATCACTATCATTAGATAGCCCTCCGGTTATATTTATTTAGTCATATGTACATCTTGATTGCTCAGCTGCAGAAGGGGAATAGAATTGAAAATAACAGTGGAAATGGGAAATTTACAACATTTAAAGAAAATATATATTGATTAGTATAGTTTCTTAATGATGATTAATATCTGCTTGACAGTATTGCTGCTTATTGAAGAGAATTGTTGTGAGCTTATTTTGCTATTCAAGTGACCTAATTGTAAAAGCTGTCAATTTTTTTCACATTTTCCTTCACTTCCTCTCCCCCCACACCTCTCCCACTCCCTTGAATATTTCACACTATATTATTACACACTCCCTCCTTAAGAGTGCGTTTGATCAGGATCCAGAAAAATATATTGCTCAGCAACAAGAAGAAAGCTTGTGTTTGATCTGAAGTGTTAGAGTTTGAACCACAGGTGTTCATTCCAGGAGCTCAGGGCCTATTTCATTAAAGCACAAGCCTGCTGGGTAGCTTTATTAGTCTTACAACTAATGGTGTAGTAGATAGATAAAGTAATTAGTATTGTTTGAAGTGGGTGTTGCATGTATTTTAAATAAGAATGATGTGACTTTTTTGTCCTTTTTAAATGATGGGTTGCAAGCAGTGCTCTGTTAGAGGCATGGATGCTTATAACCATGGAACTCTCCTCAGACTGCAGGTTGCTGTTTGTATGTACTTTCATACCTGACTTTAGTATTGCCCACTCAAGGAATTGTGGCACTAAGGTCTGATACAAATATTGTTGTGGGACATTGCACAACTTCAGCTGGAGTAGTCAGAAACTTCTTCACATGACATGATAATGAATAAATCATGATTGCTTGACATTAGAAGTTCCAGACTCACTGGTGCCAAGTAGTTAAAAGAAAAAAATGGATATCTTTCTTCCCTTTGAAAATTTATAATTAGCAAAGAGACTTAGATTATTATTTTAGGTAGTTTAAAATGGTCATCTGGAAATAGTAGGTAGAGAATGTGTCTTCTTCTGTGCATCTTTAACAATTAAAATATTAGCCTTTCATCTCAGTATGTTTTGCTTGTTGTTGTTGCTACACAGCGGCATATTGTGTTAAAATACTTCAGAGGATTGAATGCCTTCCAGGTTAGTCTATTTATGGGATTACACTATAAAAATACTATAGTGAATTTGTAGTTTTTCTACTATAAATTATATTAAAAATACTAATTTAATTTTAAAATGTAATACCATTAGGTTTGGAGTGTATGAAGACTTAGTTATGATGTAGTTTATAGGATGATTAGTTTATAGGATGAAAAACATAAAAGTATCGTACATACCACCTATAATTTACAGTTTGTTTAGTATAAGAATGCTGGGAAAAATGTCAAAAGTGCCTTTGTGACTTACAAAGGTAAGTCTCGTTGGTTTAGATTCCTAAGTCACTTTGGCATTTTTGAAATGTTGCCCACTATTTGTCTTGGTATCTTTGTTTCCAGTTCAGCAAAGTTGTTAAGCAGGTGCTTAACTTTAAACATGTGAATAATGCCATTGAATCTTGTCATTGCCAAGATGAGAAAGGCTGCTGCCTTTTGAAAATTTGAGGAAGGATGGGAATAAAAAGATGTTAATGGGAGCTCAACAGGAACCCTAGGGCAGGAACCCCTAGCATGTCTTCACTAGCAATGTTAAAGTGCTACTGTGGCACTTTAAAAAAAACACCTCCATGAGGGGAGTAACTACCAGCGTTTTTTATACTGGCGCTTTACAGCACTGAAACTTGAAGTGCTCAGTGGTGTGTTTTTTCACACCCTGAGCGAGAATGTTGCACCGCTGTAAAGTACCAGTGTAGACATGTGGTGGAAGAACCAAAATATAAGAGCCGTTATGTAATGGGACCAGCTATGGGGAAAACCCCCGAGAATTTTTCAGAGATCCAACTGAGAGGAGATGCCAGAGAAAAGTCTTCATTAGATTTGTCTGTGGAAGGAGTGAAAGGTAGGTGTATTAGGGAGAATGTGGTAGTAAGAGAAAACTGTTTTGCTATCAAAAGTGAGGAAGAAGTTTATCTCAGAGACTAGTTTACTTCACTCAGTAAACTATTATTGCCTCCACGACAAATGCTTATAGACTCCAGTTAGAACTTGTTGAAAAGTGCCGATTACTTTATATGGGAGTTTTTATGTTTAAAGAAATGTACTGCAAAAAAATTTTTTCAAATGAAAGTCCAAAACAATTTTTTTTTAGATGTTTTCGGGGGAAAAATCAGTTTTTGCAAAATTGGCAAATTGAAAATATTTACTGACTAAAAATGCGATAATCAAAAAAATGTTTGGTGAAAAGTTTCAATTTTTGGTTTCAGGTTTTTTTTCAGTGACACTTGTGGTAGAAATTTGAAGTTTTCCGTAAAAATAATTATTTTGGCTGAAACCAATTTGTTGTTTAAAACATTTTGATAATATTTTGACTAACTTTAGCTACAGCTTAACTTGTTTTCAGTGTAATATGATACAAAATTACTTACTGGAAGACTAGTTATTGTATTGTTGTCAAGTGTCTGGTATGTTTCCTTTCATTCTCCTGTGCTATTGCTGTGTGTGTGTGTGTGTGTTTTGTGTTGTTTTTCACATTTCATAGTCTCATCACTTTTATGGAAGTGATGATGTAAGTCTTGTGCTTGATGCTGTCTTGTGCTATGAGCTTCTGTATGCTTTATTGCTGTCTTTTGTGTGTTATCATCAGACTGCCCTATTAACAGCCTGTAGCTCTTGGTCAGGCACTGTCATTGTCTGCTTCTTTTCCCATTTTGACCATACGTATGATGTGTGTCTGGGGCCTGTGGACTCCTGTTTTGTGTTGGCATTTTTGAAAGATCTGCATAGATTCATAGATTCCAAGGCCAGAAAGGAGCACTGTGGTAATCTTGCCTGACCTCCAGTATAACACAGGCCATCGAACTTCCCCAAAATTATACCTAGAACTGATTTTTTTTTTTTAAATCCTATCTTGATTTAAAAATCACCAGTGATGGAGAATCCACAACGACCCTTGGTAAATTGTTCCAAAGATTAATTTCCCTTGCTGTTAATAATGTACATTCTATTTCCCATCTGAATCTGTCTAGCTTCAACTTCCAGCCATTGGATTGTGTTACACCTTTCTCTGTTAGATTGACGATTGGTTCAGCTTCTGTGCCGGTTAGGCCCATTGTCATGGGCTTTGATTTGTGCATTCCAAACTGGCTCCAGTTATCTGAGCTTGCCTCAGAGTGGGATAAGTTTCTTCATATGGACCAGTGTGGTTTGCAACTGTGGTTGTGTGATATGTTTTTGACTGTGCTTTTAACTGCTGCCTGTACACAAGGACAATTGTTTGCAAACACTATTTGTCGAGTGTCTTTTGTGGACTGCTCCAGCTGTTCTGTGGCCTTTGGCACTATTAGCAGATAGATAGTAATGACTTGGGATGTTGGCTCCATCTGCTACATTAGGTTGGACAAAAATCAATGATTAAAACAAAACAACCCAGATTTTTTAATTTAAATTATGGGTTTATTTTTTAAAACTAAACCTATTTAAAATTAAATTTGAAATTTGCCAATCTATATTAAGGCCTCAACTTATTATAATTTATTCAAATCATTTAAATTAAATACGAGAATAATGTTAAGAAGTATATGTTTGTTACAAAGCTATAAAGAAAGTCAAACCACTGAACTACAGGGAAGTTACTGGCTTTGTCCCTGGAATCAGAGTTTGTTGCAGTGCTGAACCAGCTTTTGACAGCAGTTGCTACTTCTGCAGATGCACAGAGAACATTTTTTTCATTTCACTTTATTCAACTAGTCCTCTGTGGGGACTTTTGCACCAAAGAATTAAATTCTGCACACAATATTTTAAAATTCTTCAAAATTTGGCATATTTTATTTGTCAAAGTAACACAATATAATCATTCCAGTTTCAGTTATCTTGGTAATTTATTTCAAAATACCTATCAGCAAGTATGGCTGTAATAATACAAACAAAAATAAAAGATTCAGGAAATGTTTTTTTGGCAAGTAGATTCCTTATCAGGAAAATTAATACAGTTTAAAAATTAAACTACAATACAGAAATGTATTTCCTGCACCCCTCGGAAGCAGGGCAAAGGCCTTGGGGAGAGGGAAAGACCCTGGGAGTGAACCTGGAGGGCCTTTGGTGGGAGAATCATAGAATATCAGGGTGGGAAGGGACCTCAGGAGGTCATCTAGTCCAACCCCCTGCTCAAAGCAGGACCAGTCCCCAATTTCCCCCATTCCTAAGTGGCCCCCTCAAGGATTGAACTCACAGCCCTGGGTTTAGCAGGCCAATGCTCAAACCACTGAGCTATTCCTCCCCCAATAAGCATGGAGCACTTATTTTTTGCAGGGGAAGGGATTGTTAGGGAGTTGGGGAATCTCCCCTGGGCAGACCCTGAGTGACCTCTAGCCTCTCCCATTCAGTCAGGCACATGTGTCCCTGCACCCCCTGGACTCAAATCGCAAGTAAAATTTTAATCATATAGTAAATAGAAAATGGTGCATGATGCATTTCTTAACATAAAAATAGAAACATTAAGAATTTGAATAAATGTAAGAACATAAGACCAAACGTCCATCTAGCCCAGTATCCTGTCTTCCGACAGTAGCCAATGTCAGGTGCCCTAGAGGGAATGAACAGAACAAGTAATCATCAAGTGATCTATCCCCTG